ACGAGTGCAATGTATTTTTGATTTTAAGAACTGTAATCCCCTGACAATGTCTATTTGGGTCAAAATTCCTCGGTGTAAAAACTTGACGAGGTTTTCTTTGTTTCATGAGGTATTGTTTTGCTGTACACTATTGTTTATATTAATGTTTTGTTGTCTTTGTTTTATGTCACTCATGAGCTACACAGGTTTTTACACCGAGGATGAGCTGTCTATTCTTTAGTCAGTACTTTTTAACCTCTTAAAGTGCCACTACAATGAAAATGTTTGTCTCTGGTTTTGACATTTTTTAGCGCCAATCAAGTTAATATGGTTAGAATTGTACTATGCGATAGTTTTTAGGTCGATGGAAGTAAAATATGCCTTGATATAGCTGGCCGAAATTCACGAAAAACCCGTCTGCCATTACTCAGCATGCAACCGAGAGCCAGCGACTGAACTGAAAAGCGGTTTTATGCATGAGTTGGCCTGTGACGTCATATGCGCACTTTTGCATCATGCTTTGTGTGTTGTGAGAGATTCCACAGTGGAAATTCTAGGCGTTTTATAAGATGTATTCTTCCTCGAATTCTTCTTCCAAATGGCATACAAATTTAGCCATGTTTTTTAGGTCGAGCTGCGCATATGACGTCACTTCTGAAAGGCTCCAACTAGTGCCACCTCTTTTTGCCACACTCCGCCATTTTTGAATTGAGTAATGGCAGGCGACCAAAAACAAAAAACAAGGTTGAAATAATCATACTTCCCTTGAGAATTTTGCGATTAAACTTGGCATGGCAAGTGTTTCTTACTTCTAGTTTCCAGAAGTGAAAAGAAAAGGCAATGCAAAATTTTGATCATAGTGCATGGCACTTTAACACCCATGAGTGTCCAAGACAGAGCTTCTTCAAACAAATTATATCAATACAATATCAAGCAGACAAGTGATGAGAATATAGTTACAAACTTATCAATTACAGAATTACCAAGTGATCCAAATCAAAATTTTTAGAACTAGAATCAGAAGTAATCTGTGGCAAACAGAAAGGAGAATTAGATCTTGGGAGTGTTCTTACGCTCAGCAGAGAAAGTTTAATCTTGTGTTTGATTTACTGGAAGTCCTCCTCTCTTGAATAGTGAATATATATTATATATTATTATATATTATTTATATTTATTAATCTATTATTTCTTTTATTTATTAGTGAATCTCATTGTTTTCAGATCTGTGGAAGAGCTGTTTCACCTGTAAAACTGAAGCAACATGTGAGTGAAGCTCATGATCAGTTAACTTGTAAAAGAAAACAGTGTATATTTATTATTTCAAAATTATGACTGAATTCATCAGACATGTATTTCTCATCAAATTGAAATTCACGAACAATCTCAAATTATAATTTTTTAGTATAATTTCAGAGCTGAGCAAAGAGTTTCCAGCATTCTGATTGGTCAAGTGGTTCCTTATATTTTACAATTATTCGCAGAAGGCGAGGTGAATATCGTCGAATAATTTCTAAAATCATAACATTTTAGTAACATTTATGAATATTTTACTTTAACATTTTGTATAAACCGCGTGGAGTGGTTTATATATAGCATCATATAAGGAGCTGGTCAACCAATCAGATTGCTGGAAACTTTGCTCAGCTCTGAAATTATACTAAGACGCTATATAAACCGCTCCACACGGTTTATATAAAATGTTAATAAATGTTACTAAAATGTTATGATTTTAGAAATTTCTCTGTTGTTCAGCTCTGAAATTATACTAAAACAATTATTCT